AGAAAAGCAAGGCATGAAAACTCACATCTCCAGATAGGGGGTGCTTCCCCGAACAATTATTAGGTGTTGGTGAGGAAGCAGGCACTAAGCCAGCGGTCCTCACCTGTGGGTCGCGACCCCTTTGGGGGTCGAACGACCCTTTCACAGGGGTTGCCTAAGACCATCGGAAAACACATATATAATTATATATTGTTTTTGTGATTAATCACTATGCTTTAATTATGTTCAATTTGTAACAATGAAATTGGGGGTCACCACAACATGAGGAACTGTATTAAAGGGTCGCGGCATCAGGAAGGTTGAGAACCACTGGCTAAGTGCTTTGGTTTCATTATCTATTTAATCTCCCAAGAACCTTCTAGGATGATTGCCACTGTTCACATTTAACATGGGTGGACAGCAAGACACTGAGACGTGAAGTCACTTTCCTGTTGTTACACAGCTGGAGAATCAGCAAGGGCTGGGCCATGCAGAAGTGCTCAGCGTAGGTTTTCATGTAACTTTCATTTAGAGACTTTATGTTGAAGGGTATTATGGCCTGGATGCAGGGCACAGGGCATTCTAGACAGGAAGACAGCCTGAGCAAAGGCCCTGAGGCAGGATGCAGCAAGGCGAAAGTGAGGACATTAGAAAGGGAAGGGTGGGAGATGGTGCTGGGGAAACTGGCGAGGAACAAGTGGAGCCAGGCAGATCTACGGAGCAGATGAGAGAAAAATACATCCTGGGAGCAGCAGGAAGTGGCTTATGAGGACCCAGCTCTTAGCTTACACTTGGCTGTGCTCTGTAACTAAAGCTAAACTAACAGTTGGACACTCCCAGCCCCTTCGGTCAGAACTGGCTGGAGAAGGACCTAGGACTGGGTGAGCCTAGAGTGAGGAGCACAGCTCTCCTTAGGGGTCAGGACAGTCTTTCTGGAGGAGGGATGAATAGGAGTTTCCCAGCAGAAAAGGATTCATTTAACAAACACTTGCTAATTACCCCACTGTGCCTCGTCCTGTGTTAGCTCTGGGGACCCAGGAAAACAGAATGAACAGACACGTATATGAGACCTAAAGTACTCAGAGCCTTCGAGGGACAGAGAACACGTCTTAAAAGCAGGGAACTGGGTGTGTCTGTGTCCTTTCTGCATCACACAGGGAACTCTAGCCCGGTGGTGTTTGGGAGGGTGGATATACTTTCAGCTTTTGATCTCAGCTCCGTCTACAGGCTAGCAGACAGGAGCCTGGATACAGCCGCCTTTAGAGAGCGGGATGTTTCCTGGTCATGGGAAACACACAGGGGGGGCCCTCAAGGAGGGTGTCTCAGAGGAGAGGCCTGAAAGATGAGAAGGTGCCAGCTATGAAAGGATCTGGGAGGGGGGGCAGTCTGGGAAAAAGCAGTAGTATGTACAAAGATGTGGAGGTAGAAAAGTAAGGAAGCCAGCGTAGTTGCAGTGAGGGACCAGGGAGGGGGGCATGAACCTCGTGGGTCACTGGGAGGAGGGTGGATATTTTCCCCGAGTGTGATGGGGACCATGAGATCCACCCCAGTTACAGAGACCACAGGGTGCTCTGAAAAGCCCTACCTCGGCCACACTGGGTGGCAGCAGCTTTCTTTGATGAACTAAGAAAGTGAAAACATCAGGTCTGGGTTCTTTCTGGGTCACCAGATGCCTCCACTTTGCCCTCCTCAGTACTAAGGGTCAATGGAGCCGGAGGAAGGCTTGGGTCAGGTTCTGGCCATTGTGCAATGAGTAGGCTCACGGCTTCCTCTGACTCATCAGCAGGGTTTAAGATGGATTTTGTTACTGCTGGGGTGAGGGGTGAATGGGGATGAGCAGGGTGAGCACTGGTACCTCACTTCTGCCCTGGGGCCATTGCCCAGTTTTGTGACCTCATAACCCCTCCTCTCCCCCACCAAATCTTTTCTCTTTCTGTGCCCGGAAACCAGCTTAGTGCAGACATATGGAAGTGATCAGGGTAACCAGCATCTTTTGAGCACTTATGAGCCAGGCACTTGACTCATGTTAATCTCATTTAAACCGTACAAAACCCAGTGCAGAGAAGGCAGCTGAGCTCTGCTGTCAGGACTGAGTTCTAGGTCTGCCTCTGGCTCTTAACTTGCTGTGGGGCAGTTGCCATCAATGTGCTCTGCCTCTGTTTCCTCTCCAATCTCACAAGATAGTGGCCGGACTGAGAAGCACTTTTATAGAATGCCCAGCCCTGCACTTGACTCCCAGAAGCTGCAATCTCAGTTAGTGCCAGGGACGGAAAATGGACTTTAAATCAACTTCAGCAAAAAAGAGAATAAATTAGCTGACACACTGAAAAGGCAGGACTGTCTATCTTTTTTTAAGCCTCACCCGAGGATATTTTTCCATTGCTTTTAGATAGAATGGGAGGGAGGGAATGAGGGGGGAGGGAGGGAGGGAGAGAGAGAGAAAGAGAGAGAGAGATATTGATATGAAAGTGACACATCGATTGGTTACCTTCTGCACATGCCCTGACCTGGGCTGGGGAATGAACCTGCAACCCAGGTACTGCTGCCTGGGAATCAAATCCTAGACCCTTCAGTGCGTGGGCCAATGCCCTAACCACTGGGCAACACCGACCTATCTTAAGGCATGGTTGGATCCAGGAGCTCAGACAGTGTCTCTCTCTCTTCCTTTGTCTCTGTTTTCCTCTGTGTGGGTTCACTCTCTTGGCCCGTTTCTCTTCAAGTGGTGACCTCTGTGTTATCCTTCAAATCAGCCACCCAAGCAAGAAGGCTCTACTGATTGTCCAAGGCTTCCAACTTGAGAAGAGGTGTTTGTGGGGAGAGGAGTTCGTGAGACCAGCTTCATTCACATCTCATGGACTGAAAGTCAGAATGAGTGTTCCCTGTAGGGCAGTTAGTTGTTGAAACCCAAAAGGGGGCAGATACAGGTTAGGCAAAATGCTAAAGTTCATGATGTTTCTCAAAGCCATATGAACAAGGAGGATAAAATGGAGCAATGTCAGTGCCCAGGACACTCCAAATTAAAATCTATGTGTGTATATATATTTAATATGGACATTTAATTAAACGGTTGGAAAGTGGAACTAAAAGCATATTCGGAAAAAGTCACTGTCCCCCTGTAATCTCCACCGGGGTTTCCCCTCAGCCATCCCTGCTCTAGTAAAAAAGTGTATTTTTATAACTGCCCACATCCCCCTGGCTGCCCCTCCTGGCTTCACCCTGCCCATGCCTGAGAATCCCTAGGGTGTCCTGAATATAAACCTTTGATATGGTGGTTGGGGTCCCTCTGCTTAGGGAGAGACAGCTGGGTGTCAAACAGAACCCCTCTTGCTTCACCGGGTCATCCCTCTATCGTCTGGGAGACTCCAGTATCCCATTCACTGCTGGTCTGAGTGGGATTTCTGGACCTTTCCTTTAGTGCCTCATGGCAAAAGCAGCATTCTTAAGCAAGACTGGAGAAATTCACAGAGAGGAGGCTGAAGCTCTGTAGTTCTGGCTCTGTGGGATTAAGGTTCCAGAGAATAGGAACTGGTACAATGTGAGGTAACAGGGAAAGAAAGGTATTAAAGATGATGTGCGCGCCCCCCCCCCCCCCCCCCCCCGCCAAAAAAGATGATGCCCAGGCTTTGGGCTGGGGCTGCTCACAAGGGTCAGGCCTCAGCTCAAATGCCCCCTTCCCCCAGCCTTCCCTGATGGTGGTGGTGGTAGGAACCTCCTTCCCTAACATCACCCCCTGCCAGCCCATCACTGAATACTTTTTTTTATAAAGAGAAGTATTCTTTTTAAATATATATATATATTGATTTCAGACAGAGGAAGGGAGAGGGAGAGAAACATCCATGATGAGAGAGAATCATGGATTGGCTGCCTCCTGCACGTCCCCCGCTGGGGATTGAGCCCGCAACCTGGGCATGTGCCCTTGACCAGGAATCAAACCCGGCACCCTTCAGTCTGCAGGCCAACGCTCTATCCACTGAGCCAAGCCGGCTGGGGTCCATCACTGAATACTTTAAAATATATATATTTTTTATTGATTTCAAAGAGGAAGGATTAGGGAGAGATAGAAACATCAATGATGGGAGAGAAATATTGATTGGCTTCCTCCTGCACGCCCCTACTGGGGATCGAGTCTGCAACCTGGGCATGTGCCCTGACCAGGAATGGGGACCGTGACCTCCAGGTTCATAGGTCAATGTTCAACCACTGAGCCACATCAGCCGGGCAAAATGTTTTTATTTTTAAAGTAAATAATTTACTTTCTTTAAAGTAAGTAATTTATTTTTCAATTACAGATGACATAGACTATTATATTAATTTCAGGTGTACAACATAGTGATTAGACATTTATATATCCTATGAAGTGTTCACCCCAATAAATCTAGTACCCATCTGATACCATACAGATACTGCAATATTATTGACCACATTCCCTATGTTGTACTTTACATCCTCCTATTTTTATAACTGGCAGTTTGTACTTAATTACTTTCACCTTTTTCACCGAGCCCTCTCAACCCTCCTCCCATCACTGAATTATTTTCTCCGTCACATTTATCTCCATTTGAAAAAATTCTTGGGTCATTTGTCGGTGACCCCTCCCCGACTTTGCGCCTCATACTGGCCCTCAATAAATACTCTGAGCGATTGCATGCAGGAATGAGCAACGTCCTGAACAGCGATCGAAGCTGAACTGACAGCCTCAGGTGCTCGCTGTCCGTGGAGGGTGCTGGCCCCGTCCTTGAAAGGGTCTGGGTCTGACTGTCTCCCTCTTGGAGGACCCAAGGCCGCTGTCCAGCGGGCCAGGAGGAAGCCCACTGCGCCTGCGCCGAAATTTCCCTTCGCTTCCCCCGCGGGTCGCGACGGCGCAGGCGAGGCGCGCGCATGCGCCATCACCCCCGCCGCGCGGGAGGTGCCTGCGTTGCTGTCCCGGCCGCCGCCGCGCCTGCGTGTCGCCCGCCGCCCGCGGGCCTGGCCGGCGCGTGCGCGGTGGCCCTGGCGAGTGGGGGGGGTAAGGAGGTGGAGGAGGAGGAGGAGGAGGCGGAGGAGGAGGAGGAGGAGGTGGCGGCGAGAAGATGGCGACTTCGAACAATCCGCGGAAATTCAGTGAGAAGATCGCGCTGCACAACCAGAAGCAGGCGGAGGAGACGGCGGCCTTCGAGGAGGTCATGAAGGACCTGAGCCTGACGCGGGCCGCGCGGGTGAGGGGGCTGCCGCGCCGACCCCCTCAGGGCCGAGAGGGCGGAGGAGAAGGCGCGTGTCCAGCGCGTGCACAGGGCGGGGGCGCGCGGCGGGGGCGGGGCGCGCGGCGGGGCGGGGCTTGGCCTGGCCCGAGGGGACAGGTGTCCTCGCTCCTTGGGCGTCGTGGGCGGGATTGGTGCCCCACATCCTCGGTATCTGTTGGGGGACAGGTGACCCCGCATCATTGCTCCCTGGAGGGCCGGGGTCTCCATGTCATGACCACCTGGAGGGAACAGGTGCCACTACATCGTCGTTCCCGAATGGGGACGGTGTCTAACCTCACTGCCACCTGAGGGGGACAGGTACCTCCCGTCATTGTTAGCTGGAGGGGCAGGGATCGCTGTATCATTACCGCCTGGAGGGAACAGGTGCCACTACACCGTTGTCACCTAATGGGGACAGGTGTTTCTACATGGTCGCTGCCTGAGGGGGCCAGGTGCTCCCATGTTACTCTGCCTAGGGTGACAGGATGACACTGAGGCGTAGGACCCGGGCGGTGCTGGAAAGCATCACTGGTACGTGGGGGGCGGTCGATACGTGCTCCCATATTGTCACCTGAGGGGACAAGTGATCCCACATGCTCACTACTTGGTGGGACAGGCGTCTACATCAGGGGTGCCCTGGGAGCCTGTGGAGGGGCAGGTGGCCCTGCTTGCAGACCTGAGGTGGAGAAGGCCTTCTGGACTCCATAGGGCAAGGTCAGATGGGGGTGGGGGGTGGTTGGGCAGGGGTTCAGGAAGGCAGATGTGCTCTGTTCTAGAGTTTGGAGTGGAGACAGCTGCCCCTTCCCTGGGCAGCCTGTGTGGTGGGGACCAGGTGATGCTCCTCCCACCAAGACAAAGGGCAGCTGCACACAGACGCCCCCGGCCTTTAGGAACAGGGTGGAGGGTCAGCTTTCCTCGGGTGGCTGGGTGGGCTCGATGTGTAGAGGCAGGCCTGGCTGTCTGCTCACCTCACCCGGGAAGCCACTGTGGGCCTGGAGCATGGGCTGGGCTGGGGCCGAGGTTGGTGGCCTGGCTTTTCTCCTGGGCCTCAGCTCTCTGGCTGCACCATCGCAGCAAAGTGCTAAGCTCCTCGGGCCTTATGTTCTGTGTGAAGTGTGTCTAGCAAGCCCTGCCTCGAGGGTCAGAAGGCAAGATGCTCTTCACAGGTGTTGGTAATGTCTGCTGTATTCCTCAGAGCAGTGGGATCCCCACCCTGCACCGTGGGGCTTCAGGGCAGATTTGACACCCACGTGGCTGGTTGCTGGATTTGGCCACTGGTCTGACCATTTCAGGCAGACCTACCTCTGTGACTTCAGCTTCGGTCGGATTCCGCAGATGGAATTTTCAGGTCATGTTATTTTCTCATTAGTCATTTGTTTCGCTGTGAGATTGTGACCTTATAGACTAGAATGTATCTTCCTTTCCATGCATTTACTTGGCACATATTGGTTGGGTGCTCACTGTCAGCCAGGTGCTTCCTGTCCCTACCCCAGCAGCTCATGTTCTCACTCAGTACATAGAGGAAGAGATGGTTGGTGAATGAATGAATGAATGAATGAATGAATGTGAGCAACTGGATTGACCCCATAAGTCAGGGCTTCTGAGGGCAGGAGTGTCCATATCATGTTGTCTCCAGCATGTAGTGTGTGCTAATACAAGTAGGTGTCAAATGTATATAGTATGACAGGAAGAAGTGGGTTGTGTGAAATTCATGGCTGTCTTTATCACTGGAGGTCCTGTTTCTGTCTTGGGGTTAAAAATGGATTATTGTTGAAAAGGTTTCTTTAACAGCTTTATTGAGATATAGTTCACATACCATATAATTCACTTGTTTAAAGCATACAATTTAGTGGGTTTTAGTGTATTTATGGAGTGTGCAATCATCTCCACTGTCAAATTCCAATAACATTTTCATCTCCCCCAAAAGAAACCTGGTATGATGAGCAGTCAGTCCCCATTCCTCCCTCCGCCAGCTCCTGGCAACCACCAGTCTGCTTTCTCTTCCTATGCGTTTACCTATTCTGGACATTTCATGTAAATGGGATCATACACTATGTGGCCTTTTGTGACTGCCTGCTTTCAGCAAGATGTTTTCAAGGTACATGCATGTTGTAGCATGAATCAGAAAACTTAATTCCTTTTTATGGCTGAATAATATTCCATTGTTTGGATGGACTATATTTTGTTTATCCATTCATCCACTGATGGATTTAGAAAAGATTTTTAAGATACAGAGACAGCATTTCTCTCAGCCCTAGTAACCATTTCCCATCTCTTTCCTCCCTCTCTCTGTTGCCTTCCTTTACTTCAGGATTTGGGGAGGTAGGATGGGCATGGTCTCTGGGCAGAGATGAGTTTACACTGGATTTTAGAGACAGAGCAGTGTTCTCTGCTGGGGGCATTTCTGCCCTCTAAGGGGCATATGGCAATGCCTGGAGACATTTTTAGTTGTCTTTACTGGGGGGAGGGGTGCTACTGGCATATGGTGGGTAGAGAACAGGGATGCTGCTCACCACCCCACAATTCATGGATGGCCCTACCACAGGAGTGAGTGATCTGGCTTGGAGGGAACACTGAGTGGGCAGGGGTACAGCCTTTGCACCTGGGCATATAGAGTTCAAAGCTCTGCCCCTACTTTTATGGCTGTGTCACCTGTGCAGGCTGATGGCTTTTCTCGAACTTGGGATCAGGATGGACAAGCTTCTTCCCAGTCTTTTGGCCATTGCCTGTGGCAAATGGCATTTTTGCAGTGCCTGGTATAGGTGAGTGAACCCACTTGATGCAGGCTCCCCTCCTGCCCTCACTCTGTGGCTGCAGCCTTCCCTCACTACCTCCCTCTGCAGTAGACACCTTGGTTTCCCCTGCACATGCTAACAGATAGGGCATCGCCCTTTTGGTAGCTGTTCCTCTCCAGTGAATTCTGCAGGACAGCTTGCCCACTCCTGGAGTGAGCAGGGTCACTTGTGTTTCTGCGTGTCCACACACGGTCCTCAGTGGTGATGGAATGCTCGCAGTGCCTTCCCATGTGAAAGGCCAGTCAGTAGACATTCAGTGTGATAAGCAAATCAACACTGCCACCTTCCTGGGGAGCAGGGACACAAGGGCCAGGTTGGGTGGGGGGACAGGGTGTAATGTCGGGGAGACCACTTTCGTATTGCAGCACAGAAAGGTTGGGTGTATGAATGTTCCTCTACCACCCTGAGACTTGGGTTGCGTGATATGCAGGGAGGGGCTGTGGTGCTCTGCTGTGTGACTTGGAGCAGGTTTTTTTTTTTTTTACTTTTTTTTGTTTTGTTAATCCTTACCTGAGGACGTTCTTTCCATTGCTTTTTCAGAGAGAGTGGAAGAGAGGGAGGAAGGGGGGCGGGAGAGAGAGAGAGAGAGGAGAGAGAGAGAGAGAGAGAGAGAGAGAGAGAGAAAGAGAAAGAGAGAGAGGAGAGAGAAACATCAATGTGAGAAAGGTTTATCAACTGGTTGCCTCCCCCATGCGCCCCATCCAGGGGGATGGGAGGGAGCCTGCAACCCAAGTACGTGCTCTTCACTGGGAATCGAACACAACCCTTTGGTGTGTGGACTGAGTCACACTGGCCAGGGCAGATTTTTTGAATCCTGATCTATAAAGTTGGGGTAGCGTGTTCATTCCACATAATGACATTTTTGATTGTCCAGTATGACCCAGGGATCATGTTGGATGCATAATGTAGCATACAGAACATTAAGGGCCGTGCTTTTGGGGAGTGGGTATGGTTTTAATGGGGACAGGAGAGAATCACTGCAAATGAATGAAGCACAGGCTTGCAGAGAGAAGAAGCAGGGTGATGTGGACTGACTGGGGGGGAGTGGAGGCTAACACCTGGACAGTGAGACAGAGCCCCCTATGCCGGTAAGAGCACCCAGCTGTAGGACAGACAGATGCAAGGCCCTGGGTGGGGAGGGTTTGGCAAAGTTAAGGACAGGTCAAAGGACAGAGAGGCTGGCTTGTGGAGAGAGTGAGAGAGGTGAGGCTGGAGTGGCTTTGGGAGCCCTTGATTCCACCTGAGGGAGGGGTGTTTGATAGTTAGAAGCGGAGCTGCTGCTTATTTTTTTCAGTAGCTGTATTGAGATGTAATTCCCAATACATCCAACCCACCCATTTAAAATGCACCATTCAGTGGTTTTTAGCACATTTACCATGTTGTGTAACCATTACTTTTATCTAGTTCCAGAATATTTCTGTCACTCCGAAAGTAAACCATGTCCCCATTAGCAGCCATTCCTCATTGCCCAGCCTCTGGCAATCATTAATCTGCTTTCTATCTCTATAGATTTGCCTGTTCTGAATATTTCACATCAATGGAATCATTTACCATGTGGACTTTTGTGTCTGGTTTCTTTTACTCTGCATGATACTTTTGAGGTTCACCCATGTTCTAGTGTGTGTCAGTACTTCAGTCCTTTTTATGGCTGAGTAATATTCCATTCTGTGGATGGACCACATTTTGTTTATCTTTTATCAGTCAATGGACATGTGTGTTGTTTCCACCTTTTGGCCATTGTGAATAATGCTGCCATGGATATTTATGTCCAAGTGCTCTTGTAGATGCAGGTCTTCCTTTCCCTGGGTGTACACCAAGGAGTGGAGTTGCTGGGTCATATGGTAACTCTCCATTTAACTATTTGAGGGCATTATCTGTTCTCCAAAGATGGGTGTGAGCTGAACTGGCAATGGGATGAGAGAGGAGGGCAGCAGATTGTATGAAAGGCCACTGTAGCATCTAGGCTAGGGACTTCGGGGGGGCGTAGCTTGAGCAGGATCAGTGGATTTTGGTGGTATTTTTGGCATCAGAGCAAAATATGTGCAGGTGGATTGCATGTGGGGCGTCACCTTCTTGCCAGGGGCTCAGGACACAGGAGGCTCTGAGCATCCCAGGGAGCAGCCCCAGGGCCAGAAAAAGCCTGCGTGCAAAGCAGTCCACGTGGCTTGGCTTAACTGCAGC